ATTATTCACCCCACCCCCTGGAGAAAAGCCAGCCTGTTTAACCTTGACAAGTTGTGTTAGTCCCAGAGCACTCCCAGGAAAATGGAATGGTAAACCCTTTATAGAAACTAGTTCAATGTACTGTAGTTGAAATTCAGCTTTGCTGATTGCCTCCACTAGATGATACCTTCCTAAGTAATGGTAATAGGGCTTGGAAGTTCCATAACTAAGCAATGACTGCTATGTTCAGTTTTACCCAGAGAATCACCCTATCACTACTCAGCTGTGAATGGCTTTAGTATGTCATTAAATTCATTCTTGTTAAAAGACATTTGCAAGCTCTTAATAGTAACAGCAGTCCTTGAAGTGGTACCAGAAGTAGCTCTGGGGCTATAGAGGAGTAATTGCCTGCTAATTTGTAAGGTTGCAGCTTCAAGGGCAACAGCTCTTCTGTCACAGGAAAGGAAACTTCTATGAATAAGAGCCTTTGAGTTGTAGAATGTCAGTAGAGTAGAACCTGTGCAGCACAGTTACTGCCTTATGTTAAACTAAAATCAAACATTTACACATTTGTCTTGTACAGCCAAGCTGTGCAAATACTCTCAGGTACCTATAGGATGAGCTTTGTTGTTGTTTAGTCATTACATCATGTCCAACACTTCAGGACCCCATGGACCAGAGCACGCCGGGCCCTCCTGTTTTCCACTGCCTCCCAGAGTTTGGTCAAATTCATGTTGGTAGCTTCGATGACACTGTTCAGCCATCTCGTCCTCTGTCGTCCTCATCTCCTCTTGCCTTCACACTTTCCCAACATCAGGGTCTTTTCCAGGGAGTCTTCTTTTCTCTTCTCTATAGGCTGAGTGTAGAGACCTTAAAGTCCCAGAATCAAGGAGCTGAAAAGAGGGAAAGAGCCACAAGGGTAATCAACCCAAGCCCTTTGCTAAAGCAGGAAATCCAGAGCCAAATCATCCCAGGGAGATGGCCATTAATCTCTGTATAAAACCTCCAATGAAGGAGAGTCCACCACCTTCACAAGTTGCCCACTCCATTGTCAATAGCTCTTAGTGTCAGGAAGTTCTTCCTGATGTTTAGTCAAATTGCCTTTTTTGTAGTTTGAATCCATTAGTTCAGCTCCAACATTTACTCCATCTCCCACATACTCCAATTTGCTCTATCTTCCACATGATAGCCTTGGTTTGCAAGTCTCAAAGGAGGTTTATCTCTTTCCCAATTGAGGATCCATGGAGTAAGGGATGACACATGAATGTGTTACCAGTTCCTTCACCATTTAATGAGTATTGAAACTCTGCTGTTGCACTGCTTGCACATTTCTTCCCAAAGTGAGAGTGCTTTGGGGAATGGGTAACCATCATATTGTGGGGCTGATGCCATCCATCCATTGCAAAACCTTTACTAGGTTCTGTCTTTGACCATAATATGTGTCAAGAGACTGGGAAATTGAGGAATAACAGATTCTTGTACTCTTTTGGAAAATTCAGGCTTTGTAGTTCGCGCTTGGAACAAGCTGGCTGAGTGAGGGGTATATTTGTAATGTGCACCAGTAATTTGAAGGGAGAAACATCTGCAGTTTAACAGTGTGAGAGCAATCTTCAAGGATAAGCTAGCTCATTCCTTGATAATAAACTCATTGGGAAGATGGTCTTAGCTCAGTGAAGGGGCAGAAACTGCTCTTGGCTTTGTGAATGTTCAAGAAAACGTGATGCCTGATTATAAGACCCTCTAGAAGAGTCCAATAGCTGAAGCTTAAGGTATAGGAACAGAAGTGTCACGTTCCCAGGGGATTCAGCAGGTGAAAGTCTAATAAGCTAGTCCAAGGCCAGAAGTCCAGGAGATACAAAACAGATGCCAAATTGTCAAAGCCAAAACACAAACCGTAGTCAGAAGTCAGAGTCCAAAAGCGAAGGGTCAAGAGAGCAAGGTTCAAGCCAAGCAGGAGCATGGATGTGAGCCAGGGAATTGACTTGTTGCTTCCACAAGCTTCCAAGCCTCTGAGTACAAATTATATAGCAGCAACAATCATCTAATTCCTAGAAACATTCCATCCTGTTAAAACTCGGCTGGTCGACCTGATGTTCCTGTGAAAAACATTCATGTGAGCCTCAGACCTCTGTGTTGTGGGTCTCTGCCAAAGCTTATCTATCACTCTGGCTAGTGGGGGAGGAGAATCTGTCAGGGATTCCGCTGTCTGTGATACTAATTGCCCAACATTTTCCTCAGCTGTAATTAACCCCTCTGATTCCAGGCCTTCTTCAGCTGAACTCATGACAAGAAGTTACTTTAGTGGGCTTAGTTATCTCTTAGGAAAGATGCTATGCTCATTTGCTGCCTTGCTGCAAGGAATGCATTTTGTGTATGCTGTGAGACTATGCTGAAAATATGCTAGAACGTAAGTACTAGAATAATTTATCTAGCTTTCTTATTTTCTTATGTGTTTGCTCCTATCTCAAACTTTTAATTGAGCATTTGCTCCAAAACATTTTTTACTGTCTTTGCAACTGTTGAGACTGTTTTTGGAAATGTAACCATCTTTTAAATAAATGAAATATCTTCATACAGAAGACATTTTTGGATTAAGACTGTCTGTGGTGCTTAAAATTAGGCCTTTACTCAACCGCCTACTGGAAGCCTGTTTGATTTCTGGATGTGATGGCATTTCTACTTTGCAGGGCAAGCATAAGAGTCACAGTGCTTAATCTTGTGGATTTTTAAAACTCTCAGAAGCACTGTTATCTTGGGTCAGACTAAAGTGTGGGGAGGGCACCAGGTAGCTAGATTTCCCCAGTTATCAGTACATTTGGCCATCCTGGTTTCACTCACATCAAGGCAATGAGTGTAGTCTTTCTGAGTGGTTGAGTGGACCTTCTTGAACATAGTGATCCTTGATAATATGGGCACCATCTGATTTTTTTACTCTGGGTCTCCACCACTTGCCTGGACCAATCAAAGTTGATTGATCCTAGTCTGAATTCCTATTGACATAGAAGTTTTCTCTGCCCATGCTGGTCACTCTTCTTGTGCCATTACACTCCAGCATGAGCTTGGCATCAGAGAGCAAGCTCTGAGACTTTGAGGGTGGGATCACCACAAAAGAGTTTTTTCTCCCTGACCTTGCCAGAGGAAAAACTGGGTGCAGTGATTGGGGCTGGATGGTAATAGTAGGAAGAAAGCTCCTGCAGCAACCTATGTGAACCTCACCATGTCTCTACTTCTCTCTGCCCTGTAACTGGTGCAGAATGTGTTAGCTAAGCTGCTAGCTGACAGAGAGTGTTGCGATCATATTACTTCCATGCTCAAAGACCTGCATTAGTTGCAGAATGTGCTCCATGCTCTGTTCAAGGTGTTGGTTTTAACATCAAAAGCCCTCAGTGGTTTGGCTAGTTGAGGGACTGCCTTGTCCCATTTAGAACATTAAGAGCTATAACCCAGGATGTTTTGAAAATACAATAATCTGAGGAGACCACTTCACAAAGCAATGGGAGAAGGCCTGTATTCTCCTGTATGGTTCCTATGATATGAAATGCACTTCCACTAGAGTTTGCATGCTCATGTTTTTGGGAAGCATGTGAAGACAGATTTGGCAAACTCACTATGTTAATTGTTTTGGTGTTAGGCCCACATTATATATTAGCCCATCATTAGAAAGAAGAAATCTTTTAGTGTTTTAGGTACATGTACTGGAGTTGAACACCTTCATGACTGAGCAATCATACTTAGAATTGAAACCTGTGTTTAAGGCCAAAGATCAGTCATAAAACAATGTAATATGTAGTTTGACCATACACTGTGTTGAATTTAAGGGTTTTATTATTTTAATTATGTTTTCTTGAGTGCTATTGTTTCAAGTGAAAAGGCAGGGTCAAAAGTGTAATAGATAAAACAAATCTTCCTTCTACACTTATTTTGACTTCCGCAGTCTGCATCAGGGCTAGTCCAGCTGATGTCTTGGTTGTGGGCATCTGGCATTCCATTGTGCTACTGTCTATGCTACTTGTAAAAGAAATGCAACTGCAGGAGGAAACAGGATCCTTGGTGTCTCCCACTTGGGCTGCTTTGACAATTACATTGAAACCAGGCAATATGCATTGACACAAGAAGTGTAAGATACAAAGAAAGAAGTAGGTACAACAGTAGCAAAATGCTAATTTTTTAATTAATCATTATTTTTTTAAAGAAAAAAAATTGTAAAAAGGTGAAGTTATCCCCCAACCAGGCATTTGTTCAGGAGTCATTCAGAAGAAAATAGCCTCTAAAGTCTATTTTTCAGAAGCAAATAAATAGTACTGGCACAACATTAAAAAATAATTCATTGTCTTACAACAGGATTTAAATTATTGTTCTATATTGCTATTTTGGTTTACAAAAATTCTTCATATGACCCTTTGGCAAATATAAATGTGTATCCAATCTATTATTCATTCTGTAAACAGTTATACAAAAAACATTCAGATCTTCATAAAATTACTATGTTATTGAAATCATGTAAACAGAGAGTCTTCGTCAGCAGCCACCATTTTTTATTGAGCCTCCTTTTTTGCACAAAAATAAATCTGCAAATACATCTTGTAGTATTGCAGCCCCACATCTTAGAATGAAACTCATAGAAGAAGACATTTGAAATGAAAGAGAGGAAGAACTAATTAGCGAGGCGAGAGCCACATTTTAAAAATGGTGATGGATTTCCACAGAACATTTTGTGAAACAAAGCTGCAATGAAATGGAATTGGACTCTCTTAATAATGATTGTGCTCCAAAATAACATCTGGCTTGTACTGGGGGTGAAATAAAAATGATTGCATTCTGTGATAGCTTCCCTCAGATCTAGCCCCTGAGAAGAGTCTCACGTCACCTCTGAATTTTTCTTGCTGAGCACCCTAAAGAAGAAGGAAGAGTGAGGGGAGAGACATTTTCTGTGAACAAAAGTATTCCTCAGTCTTTTCATGGTGCTGCTGTGGATACCTTTCTACTTAAGACAAGATTCATTTTAATTGCTGGTCCTTATTTTTCTTTAAAGATATATTCCAGTCCTTACTGCTGCTTCACTTCTTGCTGCTGCTCTTCTTGTTGCTGCTGTTCTTCCTGCTGCTGCTGCTGCTGCTGCTGCTCTTCTGGTGTGGGCGTGGGCTGAGGAAAGCACTCAGAGCTCAGACAATCACACTCCTCAACATGGATGTAAGAATAATCCGTGGTGGTGCCATCGGCGCAAATCAGGGTCACTTGCCTCTTGCTGGTCTTGACTTCTTGACAGCAGTTGCATGTGTGGTTTATGGCCTGAGCATCAGCTGAATATCTGAGTGGTCACAAAGGGAAGGCAAAGGCTTAGGGGCATGCTCGCTGCAGGATCAAGCCTAGCCACATGGATAGGTTTCACAAGCTTGTAACGATCCTACACACAGTAAGTTTGGCTACCTACCCTGTTTCCCCTAAAATAAGACCTAACCTGAAAATAAGCCCTAGTATGATATTTCAGGATGCTTGTAATATAGGGACGTGGAGGCGCTGTGGGCTAAACCGCAGAAGCCTGTGCTGCAGGGTCAGAAGACCAGCAGTCATAAGATTGAATTCACATGACGGAGTGAGCTCCCGTCGCTTTGTCCTAGCTCCTCGCCAACCTAGCAGTTCGAAAGCATGTAAATGCGAGTAGATAAATAGGTACCATCTCGGTGGGAAGGTAAAACGGCGTCCCCTAGTCATGCTGGCCATGTGACAATGGAAAAACTGTCTTCGGACAGGCACTGGCTCTACGGCTTGAAAAGCGGGATGAGCACCACCCCCTAAAATGGGACACGACTGGCCCGAAAATGTCAAGGGGAACCTTTACCTTTACCTTGTAATATAAGCCCTACCCTCAAATAAGCCCCAGTGAAGTGAAACCCCACCCTCCACCATTGTGCTGCAGTCAGAAGAAGATGACTTGACTGCATTTGAATAAACGTAGATTGTTGTCCATGAAAAAAATAAATAAAACATCCCCTGAAAATAAGTCCTAATGCGTTTTTTGGAGCAAAAATTAATATATTATAATAATATAATATCCCCCTTGTTTTGGGGGAAACAAGGTATTTATTTATTTGTTTGTTTGTTTGTTTGTTTAATGCCACAATGTACTTTCTGTTAACTCCAGGGGGATTGACAAATAGTAAGTGTAATCTTCAGCTCCCTCCAAGTAGTAGTGAATTAGTGAATACTGCTTGTGCAAGCTCCTAAAAAGCACAGCTGCTAGACTGTTTAAATAACAGGATGGACGAGGATTGAGTTTCCAAGGGTTTCTAATGTCTTTGCAATTGTTTTGGACAGTACCATCTTGTAAATCACTCAAGGTACCTGTTAAATGGGCACCTTAGCTAGGACTGAAATGAACTGCTTCACCTGAGGGCCCATCTCCCCATTCCCCATGTCTTGCTAGCCCAAAATTCAACCTAATGGCTTTCTGATCTATGACTCCAGCTATTAGAAACAATTAAGACTTCAGAAATCACAAGTGAAAGTAATTTGTTAGAGGGGTGAGAAATGTTCTCTCTTCCACTTACTTTGAAGAGCTACCACAGTGGCCCTCACAATATGTCAACTCAACAGGTAAAGAAGCTTCACAGTCCTTGTGCCTGATGACCTTTTGAATGGATTTTGGTACACAACTCTTCTCTGTGAGGAGACAAAGAAATAGAAATATTAAGAATATAATTGTGTAATTGCCAGTTAACAAAAAGCTGAGGAAGGCAATATAGTATGCTCCCACAAGCACATGTACAGAACCACACACTTATTCTGGAGATGCAGGAGGAAGATAAATGATAGGGTCCACCTAATTTTATGAGAACTTAGCAGGATGATTTTCTTTATGCTTTCAGAAATGCAGAAAAGATGGGAAACTGTGTTAACTTCTTTGAACAGGGTTGGGCAAAGTGAAGTCTTGGGGGTTACATATGGTTTGAAGATATATTTTTTCTAGCAAAACAAATGAATTGCACCCCTGAAGCCTCTAGAAGTGGTGGTTCAATGGTTATAACCCTCTAGTGCTGCTTAATCATTCCTAGCAGCCATTTTTCAAAAATGAAAAGAGACATGCAGCCATGTTTGGTTTCATTAGGCGTGTATGTGTCTCTGTGTGAAGAGTTGTATTTTTTGACAGGCTGTTAGGCCCTCAGAGCTACCTCCTAATGTAGAAAGTGGGTCTCTGGCTCTGCCATGGTTGCCCACCCTGTGCTAGAATGTGGGTATGTAAATGTAGCCCTCCAGTGATTGGTGGATTAAAACCCCTGTCAGTTCTGACCATCGACCAAGCTTGGGGCTGATCGAGATAGGAGCTGATCAACATCTGGAGGGTCAGAGGTTTCCTATCTTTGTCTAACCAGTGGAACAATTACTGTAACACCTTCTGTATCTAAACACCACATGGTCTAAAAGTCAGAATGGGGAGGGATGGGCTTATAGAGAAGATTGTTGAATTTGCATGTCTAGTGGAATAAATTAGACATTAGGAACAGGAAAGCCTGTGCTGTATATCTGAATACCCCGGGACTTCTCTTAAATGTTATGGTAATTCCAGTTTGTAGCCCCAATTAGAATAAGATCATTGAAGCAGTGGGATTTACATACGAATGTATTTACCATTCATCATTTGCTTCAATAGCTCTATGCTAGCTGTTACTAACATCTGTATTTAGGCTTTCCTTCTACAGCCTGCGCCTATGCTGCAAAAGGACAGGGCTTAACATTTCCTCACTGCTCAAGTAATTTTTATTTGCTTACTTTCCAGATGTAGCTAGCATTTACAGGAGATGTATTCTGGTACATGGCAGGGACATTTTGAGATAAATTTTAACGTTTTAGCATGACTTACGTGGACCAGTGCACACCTTGCAGCAGCCATCGTCAGAAATATGCTCCTAGAAGGACAAAATAGTTTAAGATTTATAGCCAAAGCAATCATATTTACTTCAACAAATGGACTATTTTTTTTGTGTCAGTGGGAGATTCACGATGGAATCAGAATTTCCTAGAGGGGTGCAGGCAAAGGCAGATAAATAACATTTGAACCAACAGAACAAAACCATACAGTATTGACCCCTTCAGTTGTTCATTATTTTATTGTAATCTCCCCTGAGATGTTTTTGATGAAGGGTCGGATAAACATATTTTAATACATAATAAGAATAAAATAAATACTGTTTCAACTTATGTATCTACATAAGCCTATTGTCAGGTTAACTTTCTTAAAACTCTTCAATGACTGTTCTCTTCAGCTATACATGTTTTGCCACTAAGTTGTTTTCAAATAACTTTAAAGTTTTGCTGCTTTTAACTATCCTTGAGATTTGTTTGCTAAATGGTGGCATATCTGAAAGACCATTTCTCCTATACAAGCCCCTATGATCTTCAGGGGAGTAGCTTCTCTCAGTCTCAATATTCTCAAAAGTGCATCTGGTAAAGACCCAAGAGAGTGCTTTTCCTGTGGCTGCTCTCAGATAATGGAACTTCCTCCCTTGGGAGAAGCGGCTGGCCCCTTCTCTCCTCTCCTTCCACCATCAGTTGAAAATCTGTTTTTTTAGAGAACCTTTTGGGGAGCCAGGAGGCAATTGGAGATGGGAGGTCTTTTGAAAGGTATATGTTTAAAACAAAGTTTTAACTGTGCATATCTTATAGTTTGAATCTTAATCAGTTTGTTTCAATAAATTGTTGATTTTAATTTTTTTCTATGCTGCTTTGGGTCCACACTAGGGGAAGAAGATGGGATAAAAATCAATCAATCAAATAAAGAAACAAACAAATAGATTAACAAATATTTATATAAAT